AGGAAAGCTGAAACTTACGTAGAGGCATCCTTGGGAAGTGTAGATATTAAATTGTTAAAATCATGACCCCCAGGGGTAGGGCGGGGCCACAATAGGAAATCCAAGTTTTACATAGAAATATATAGAACAAATCTTTAAAAATCTTCTTCTCAAGAACCACTGGGCCAGGAAAGCTGAAACTTATGTGGAAGCATCCTTGGGTAGTGTAGATATTAAATTGTTAAAATCATGACCCCCGAAGGTACGGCGGGTCCACAATATGGAATCCAAATTTTATATAGAAATATATAGTTCAAATCTTTAAAAATCTTCTCCTCAAGAATCACTGGGCCAGGAAAGCTGAAACTTATGTGGAAGCATCCTTGGGTAGTGTAGATATTAAATTCTTAAAATCATGACCCCCGGGGGTAGGGCGGGGCCACAATAGGGAATCCAAGTTTTTACATAGAAATATATAGAACAAATCTTTAAAAATCTTCTCCTCAAGAACCACTGGGCCAGGAAAGCTAAAACTTATGTGGGAGCATCATTGTGTAGTGTAAATATTAAATTGTTAAAATCATGACCCCCTGGGGTAGGGCGAGGCCACAGTAGGGAATCCAAATTTTACATAGAAATATGTAGTTCAAATCTTTAAAAATCTTCTCCTCAAGAATCACTGGGCCAGGAAAGCTGAAACTTATGTGGAAGCATCCTTGGGTAGTGTAGATATTAAATTCTTAAAATCATGACCCCTGGGGGTAGGGCGGGGCCACAATAGGGAATCCAAGTTTTACATAGAAATATATAAAACAAATCTTTAAATATCTTCTTCTCAAGAACCACTGGGCCAGGAAAGCTGAAACTTATATAAAAGTATAAAATCCTGGGGTAGTGTAGATTCTAAAGTTTAAAAATCATAAGAGAAGGTGGTAGTGGGGCATGATAGATATAGCAAGTGGAGGAATCTGGTAAAGAACTGCATCACCCAGGTTACTCAGGTGAGCGATGTGGCCCATGGGCCTCTTGTTAGCTCTACTGGTCAGAATCCAGAAGAGCTTATGCGATAGTAAGGTGTCCGTTGTCCGTCCGTCTGTCCAGCTGTCTGTCTGTCCATCTGTCTGTAAACAATTTTTCAAAACGCTACTCCTCCTACAGTTTTGGTCTGTTTTAATGTAACTTGGCACACAAGTAGACTACACTAAAATACATAAAATACATGTAGTGCATCGGTTTTTGATTTCGATGAACGGTGTTGCCATGGTTACTGAAAATATAATTTTCTGTAAAATTCCTTTAAAATGCTAGTCCTCCTACAGTGATCTGATTCATATAACTTGGCACACAAGTAGAATACTCTAAGGTACATAAAATAGTGCACAGGTTTTTGATATCGATGAACGGTGTTGCCATGGTGACTAAAAATAGAATTTTCTGTGAAATTCCTTTAAAACGCTACTCCTTCTACCTTTGGTCTGATTTCAATATCACTTGGCACACAAGTAGACTACACTAAGATACATAGAATAGTGCATCGGTTTTTGATTTAGATGAACAGTGTTGTCATGGTTACTAAAAATAGAATTTTCAGTGAAATTCTTTTAAAAGTTTTAGTCTGATTTCAATATTACTTGGCACACAAGTAAACTAAACTAAGATACATAAATTAGTGCATTGGTTTTTGATTTCGATGAACAGTGTTGCCATTGTTACTAAAAATAGAAATGTCTGTAAAATTCACTTAAAACGCTACTCCTTCTACAGTTTTGGTCCGATGGCAATGGCTTCTTTTCTCATCCTTTGTTATTAGTACAAATCAGTAGAGCTACAGTCTTGACAAAGACTTCTGGTTTGGACAAATGAAATTAAAAAAATCGTCGCCCGCGTGGCGCAGTGATTAGAGCGTCTGCTCTAGAGTCGCGAAGTTGGGAGTTGACCCTTGCGTCGCGGGTTCGAATCCCACTGTTGGACGTGGAGACCGGTCCTTTGGATGAGACCGTATAAACTGAGGTCCCGTGTCGCAGTAGGTGCTGGCACAAAAATACCCCTCACTGCTCAATGGCCCTCAGTGCTAATATAGGACAAAATTTGTAGCTATCCACTGGCAAATGGTGGCCTCTCCATATGAGTGAAAAATTCTCGGGAGGGACGTTAAACAGCTTATAAACAACCAATCAATTCATGTTCAAAATTAATTTTTAATGGCTTCCATTTTCCATTAAATATGCTAAACTGTCAACTTTGAAAAAAGTTTGGCAAATGATAAGTCGTTCAGTAAAATAACATGTTTTGAAGATGAGATAAGTACTGAGAAAATATAACTTTTCCGTGAATTTTAAAATCGAGAAACATATTTTCGCAGAGCGGGGGATTGTCCACGCCTTGAACGCTCCCTTTCTTTAATACCAAAGAACCCATGCTTTTCCTAAAACCACGAAAATTTTACTCTATGAAAATACGTAAAGTCTGACTTTGCATTGAACTAAACGTAGATTAAGTTGAATCTGTCTATCAGTTAGGAGAATTCAAACCATCATCTTTCACATCATCAAAATGTGTTTTTCAGTCAACAAATGCAATATGGGGTAACTAAAATCAATCGAACTCAAAACTCCATTCAATCAATAGAGATCAGGAGCAGAGCAAACACAGACCCCTAAAACATCAGAGGTGGGATTAGGTGCCAGGCAAGAGTAAGCATCCCCCAGTCAATGGGTGTCACTCAATGTGTGCTCCCTGTCATGATTAAACCATCTTTCGAGTTCCTTGTTTGCTTCTGTGATACCCTTTATAATTACACCAACTCTCTTAAAAACACCAAAAACCAATCTACTGCTTGAGTGTTTTATTAAGATTTGTATATCATTGAAGTGTTTAATGCAATTAAACATAAATGACAGTGATGTGAAAAAGGCATGATTTAGGTACAACATCAAAATTTTAATCGGATAACTCAGTAAAACAAAGTGAATATCATCCCACAAGCAAATGAACAAATCCATTATTTGTACAATAAATTTCCCTTTAATATATAGCATAATGGTTAACATTTCCACAAAAGTATACATTTTATGTTTCGGTAAATATTTCGATCCTTTAATAATTTTGCATGTGATTTTACTCCATGAATTACACAAGCGATACATGGATCATTATATCTTGGCACATGAAACTTAACAAAATGGATTTCTCTATATAACACTAGCACTCTATAATTCCTTACATTCAAATGTCAACAGACTCTCCAAAATGAGAAAGTATACCTACATGTATACTTATCATACCTATAAAATGTTTTCCTTCTTTAAAAGGTATCCAGCATTACTTTCTGTTTAATCAACTTTTTTTTTTAATTTTGAGCTGAAGAAAAAATCACAGCTTTTGCATTGAGGGTATTAACCCTATGCACATGCTCAAGTTGCTAATGAATTGCAAATCTGAAAAAAAAATATTACACAAACAAAATTCTACACCAGAAAACATACACTAAAAACAAAAGTATCCAAAGTTTCTATTAAAGCATATGTTGAGAGATAAGTACATGTATTTAGTCAGAAGTTTCTATTAAAGCATATGTTGAGAGATAAGTACATGTATTTAGTCAGAAGTTTCTATTAAATCCTCTGTTGAGAGATAAGTACATGTATTTAGTCAAGTGTGAAAGAGGACAAGGACTATATAAAGCCTCAGTTTGAGATCAGTCGGGATATCCAGGGTACAGGTAACGCCAGGGTGTGGCCAAAAATATCCGACTTCTAACCAAACACCTCGCTGAAAAGGAAGAAAAATCAGAACTAATGGTCAATCAAAACCAAAAATTAAAAAGCTAAAAATTAAAAAACATCCTTCTAGTTTAGTAAAATGACACAAAAATCATATGAAGAATTTGCTGGAGCAAATTTATATTTTAAAATTTTCAAACAACTGTATACAAGCTATTTCTATAAATGAAAATCATAGTGTGAGATATGCATGATAGAAAACATAAGAAAAATAAGAACCACAATGCCTTATTATGAGTCTTCACACTCTCCATACAATTCAGAAAGTACAATTTACTTGTGAACTATGAGGATTTTTTTCCTTTTATATCTACCATTCCCTTTCCATTTATTTTTGCTTTCATCATTCTTTGAAAATTTTGTAGGTTCATTTCTTATACAAGACTTGCACCTATGAGTGAATCTACTGGCATGCTCTATTAATTATCATGTGCACATGCATACTACAAACAAAATTCCATGCACAGTTAAATATCTACCTCGGAAAACAAAGTTGATCAGCCACAAAAGTCCCACAATTAAAGTAAATTGCTGGAGGGAAGCTGTACAAGGGTAGATACTGCATTCTTTGATTTTTTGTTCTGTTGCTGCAGCAAATTCAAACAATGCATAGAAACAGAAAACTAGTAATAAACACAATGAAACTTAATGACTTGTTCCATCAGTACACAGATATATTGGGAGGTTCTTCAGATTCTCAGAAACTTCAACAAACCTAGTACTTCTTAATGCAATAAAAATGTCATATAGGTCTCCCTCATGTACACAAATTCTAAACCGAAAACAAAAAAGAATAAACCATTACAAGAATGAACTACATAAATGCAAATACATGTAATGAACATTAAAATACGTAAATTTAAGTCATAAACTGTACACATATAACACTCACACAAAGGTCTACCCAGTCTGATATTGGTCTATAATGTGAAAGACATACTGTTCTAAACTCATTTATAAACCATACACAATCACAATGTACATAAAAAATCAGTTTATTTTAATATTTCAACAGAAGTATCACAGATATTTCATAATAAACTTATTGGGCTAATTTCAGTCTGCAAGTAAAGCCATTCAGCAGACTAATAAATCATTCCAATTCTTCGCTATTGGTGGTTTTATGACTTTAAGCCAATCCTCTTAATGCTACAAAAATATAATTCCTCTATCATTTGTTGAGCAGATACATATTTAAAATCATTAAAAATAGTACAAACATGAGAAAAATTACATGTATCTTGTAGCTTTGCACACAAAACAATAACCATACTCTAACTTTTTATCTCAAAGAAATATCAAAAAAAAAAAATTCCTAAATGATTTGCTCTTTGGAAGCAATTTAATTAAATTTATTTTATGTGTAAATCATTCAACAAGTTGGTGACTCCTAAAAGTTCCCTTGATTACAATTTTCTATTCGACTTGTACAATACTGATCATTTGTAAAAGACCTGTATCTTTTTATGTATTGTTATCACCAAGGTTGAAGCTATGGATAAAAAGACAAGCAGACCTAAAGACATAAATTGCCCTGATTTCATTTCTCAGGGGCATACAAAAGACATTCAAAATAATAATTTAGAACAGTTTGTGACAAAACCACTGAACACTTGATTTTAGGATTGATCGTGAAGAGTTGTTTCCCTTGACTAGAACTAATTTCTGGATGAAGTGCCCCGATCCCTCACAATTACGTAGGTTGTGTTAAACTGGAATGTGCTGCCATATCTTCTTTCCTGATGATAAATGCTCACAATTTTCAATGTAAGAAACCCTAGAAAAAGTAAGATGTTTTTTTTTTACACCAGTCATTTCAGAAAGTGATGTACCATATACAAATAAAACAAGCTTAGATATTGTATTCATCAGTTTTATCTGTAACAATGAAAGATACATACCATAACTATTTTTATAAAAACTTTGATCGCTTTTTTTTCCAAACCAAATACATGTAATTTACGTTATAATATGATAATGACATGCCTGCTACACTTGGATCCACTCCCTATAAATCCTCCTGAAGTAGGGGGCTGTAGTATACACCTTTCTCGTTTTCATTCTTCCTGGACCACCAGCTTGATTTTTTAGCGGCCATGTAAACAATGACCGACACAACGAGGACAATGAGAACCCCGATCAGTCCTACTAAGACGACCACCAGCGTTCCTGTTGAGTACAGACTCTGCAAGGATTTCACCGGCAGTATGCATATGCCTAAAAGCATAAACATTTACTTATCTTCTTCATTTCCCTCTAATCAGGCAAATTTAATCTACTGTTTGAACCAATTCCAAAGTTAGGTGAAAAAAAAAATCATTCTGGACAAATAGCTCAATATAAGTATATTATAAGCGATGTGTTAGTCTATATTAATAACATCTACAATCCCAAACCATTCCAACATGTTAAAGAATACTGAAAACTCTCTATTTTTTCCGTAAGCATAGATGTAGTGAACAACTTGCAACGATTCAGTGAACATACTGGTACGATATTATCATTCCCTAATACAAGTACAGAGAACACAGTGAAGGTAACGTACCGTTATTATCACATTTACAACAGGAGCCCTCCTTTTCGTTGTCTCTACAGCAGGAGACACAGGTTTGTAAATACGAATGATAGGCCAGGGGAGCCTCACATGACAAACATTCGTGTGACCCAGGACCGTAACACGTCTTACATCGGTAGTGACAGTTTCGACACTCCTACAAAATAAAGACTCTGTGTCGGTATAACAACATCAGGTACATTTAACCAACTGTTCTCAATTTTTTATGATCGATTTAGAATGAGGTACCATATTACTGTATACAGGCTTATTTTGCCCTTTCACACTTGTAAACAATTTTGCACCTTTTTAAATTCGCCAGACATAGTTTTGTGTAAGAAATTTACCTGACATATCTTCTGAATTTGCCCCATTTTAAATTTACCCAAATGAGGTAGGGCTAAAGGGGTGAAAATAAAACGGAGGAAAAATTTTCCCTGTATACAGTAACAAAGTCATAGTATTGCTCTCTGAAGCATGACCTACCATATTAATAAAGTCATAGTATTGCTCTCTGAAGCATGACCTACCATATTAATAAAGTCATAGTATTGCTCTCTCAAGCATGACCTACCATATTAATGAAGTCATAGTATTGTTCTCTGAAGCATGACTTTTGCTGGTGGCAGGTGCCCTCTCGTTTTACAAAATCTCCAATGCAGTTGTTACAATTACCTACAAACATGCATGTAAAATACAGAAAAGCTGGCCTAACTTAATCTTCAAAGAATGTAAAACTCTTGAATACACTTTAAACCTTTCACTGTAAACAGTACAACAAGAGTTCTCTACTGGACCAAACTTTACCATGCTGACAAGAGTGGCATTCAATGTGAGCTGTAGACTGGTCCATTTTAACCACGTAAGGGAGGTAGCCATTGGGACAGTCAGGTAGGCATTTACCTTGGTGAAAATAGCTGTAACAAACCATAAGTGTATCTAACACACATTCATGAAACTATTGACATTTCTAAAACACCTAAATAGCCAATTTTTTTTAATCCATATTTTTAAAACCAGTCTTTTTGAAACGTTTTGGGAAAACTACTTTATTTACATCTTGTAAGCAATTTGAAGAAATAGACAAGTAGTTATTTGGGTAAAGTAGAGGGAGTAGGTCTCAAAATGAAGTAGCTATTCAGGTTTATAATGTGACATCAAACAAGTATGGCTTCACCTTAATTTTAGTACATCATACATATAAATCTACCCACCTCCCCGGGTCACACAGAACACAGCGGTCCTCTCCCTGACATTGTAGACAACCAGCTCCACACTTTACACACTGGTTTCTAAATTTGTAGTAACCTATCAAATAGATCAGCAGAATTTACACAGGATATTAATTACACTGAACATCAGTAATAGAATTGTTACACATAAAATGAGTTGGGAAAGTTTATTTTGTTTAATTTCCAATATGACAAAAACTTACCTTTTGAGCAGATATTTTCTGGCAGGTAACACTTGTCTGATAACAAGGTCAGAGTTCGTGGACAGCTGGTACATTTGTCCTTCTTCTCTGAGCAGCTCTCACACATATTGTTACACTTCTGACAAACTCGGTGATCAGGGCTCTCTGTGTTCAAAAAATACACATGTAAAAGGAAAATTACATTTTTTTTCATACTATACAGTTAATTTAATTTATAACATTTAAAGGATTTTTCAGGATCCTTAGATTGGTTCGAAGTAATGCCTCCTGTAAATAGAGAGAGAGAGAGAGAGAGAGGGATAGAACCAGTGAGCTAACCTTGGAAATATCCCTCGGGACACTCTACTGAACACTTGCCCTCCTCAGGTAACAGGAAGTAGCCGTCCAGACAGGCATGACAATGTGGTCGGTAGCCGTACTTAGACGTACAGTTTAGACACTTAGGGTCGCAGGACAGACACATCTTCTGGTTTTCTGTGAAGCCACGAGGACATTCCTTAACACAGGCACTACAAAAGTTTGTGATCAATTTAAATCACATTCTAAACAATGATCAATAGAAATTTTGATGATATTCATTACTGATAATAATTTTAATTTCAAGCAACTATCGTAAAAGATTGATTTTTTGGACCCCACCTCAGATAACTTACCCTGCTTCTCCCATACGTAAATGTTTACAGGCTTTACAATTAACTTACCCTGACTCTCCCATACGTAAATGTTTACAGGCTTTAAAATTAACTTACCCTGACTCTCCCACATGTAAATGTTTACAGGCTTTACAATTAACTTACCCTGACTCTCCCATACGTAAATGTTTACAGGCTTTACAATTAACTTACCCTGACTCTCCTACACGTAAATGTTTACAGGCTTTACAATTAACTTACCCTGACTCTCCCATATGTAAATGTTTACAGGCTTTACAATTAACTTACTCTGACTCTCCCACAAGTAAATGTTTACCGGCTTTACAATTAACTTACCCTGACTCTCCCATATGTAAATGTAGCAGGATTCTCAGATAACTTACCCTGCCTCTTCCATACATAAATGTTTACAAGATTATCAGATAACTTACCTTGCTTTTCTCATACAAAAATGTTAACAGGATTACCAGATAACTTACCCTGCTTCTCCCATACGTAAATGTTTACAGGCTTTACAGTCCTCAGGGCGACTTCCAGTACAGGTATCGAGACACTCGTCATCACATTTCTGATAAACATTAGAAATTCATTTTAATCCTCAAAAATTCAATATATTAATTATAAGTTTGCATTGTATAACTATTAATGACATAAATTTCCTTAAGTTTTCAAATTTGAATCATTGCTTTACTTACTGGTGGGGGTGTGGTGCCTGTCATTTCCGGTGGGGTAACCACCTCCCCTTGTCCAGGCTTCTTCAGTCGAATTGGATTATCCTTTGTTCCATGAAGAATAAGAGACCATGATACAAGCTGACCTGCAGTGTAACCAAGTTTTTGAAAATTATGTCAAGCTCCTCAGTGATAAATTGCCAAGTTTACATGTAAAATTTTACAGCTTTACAGCATAGACAAACTTGCTTTGATATCTTAATTAATGTAATGCAGACTGCAATAACTTAAACATCACCCAATAGATACTGCATTATTTCATGAGTAGATACTATTTAGCACAACTCCAATCAATGTCAACATTCCCTAACCTTTGACCCCGGGAGGAGGTCTGGGCCAGCTGGTAGATGGATGGTCATCAGTAATCTCCAACTTCCATGTCCCCGTGGGATTCTCCTCCCAGAAATGGACGGACAGGAATGCCCACTGAGTAAACCCTCCCTTGTTCATATCTGAGGGGCGTTTAGGGAGAAGAGTGGATCTTGTACCACTGGGGGATGTTAAATGGATGACCAGGTTACCACGGCGATAGTAGGTCAAGGTTATCTTGGCCTGAACGTGTTCCAGATAGTTGACCTCATTAGCAGTGCCTCGACAACCATCTGTACTGACTTGATTGGTGTATGGAGATCCCATCAAGTTCCTAACAGTATCAGTAAAATATATGTAAAATGTGCAAGCATGTATATTTGAGAATAAATTCCTAGATATAATGCACACTTGTATTATCATTTCATGTAAGTTTATGCATTAGTTTCCAACAATAATGTTTTTCAACACTGGATAAAAAATACTTTGCAATATTATTAATTAATTTTTTAATTTCATCTAAATTTTGATGCCCCTATAGACACTTACACATGGTTGGCACTACTGAGAATTGTACAGATGTGTTTTGGAGGTAGATTAATCCATCTCAGTCCATAATCCACCATGGCTGTAGCATTCATCAGACCGTAACCATACCTCAAACTCACTGTAATGATGTAATCATTATTCAAACAGCTAAAGTGAATACAAACATTCAAAAGCCAGGTAAGACATTTTCTGAATGATATTTTACATAGATTTTAAATGTATGCCATAACTAAAACAGTTAAGAATACATGTAATTTCAATATTTCTGACAAATTTTTTTAAAGGCTAGCAACTGTTACTTATTGACAAATATCTTCAGTTTAAAAAAATAGAAATTGTGATGACTTTACCTTTCCTGTTCTTTCCGTTTGTGATCCAGTTACCGTCCTCCATAGGGTCAGGGTTAGAGGTCAGCAGGGTGATGTACTGTACATCTCGCCAGGTCAAGGTCGGACTGCCAAATAATATCTATTTTTTTAATTTCACTATTCATTTCTGGATATTGCAAATTAGAAATTGCAGCAAGAAAAAAAAAACAGCTCTGAATTTTTAGGACTAACATCTCTTTTGCTGGCTGTAAATGTCACTTACTTTGTAACTAGGTCACTTACTTTGCTTCCAGTAAGAGGGCCACCAGACCGGCAGCCAGAGGGGCAGAGGCAGAGGTCCCCGTGTGACTGCTGGTACACTGGTTATGTAGGTCAGTAGATATCTGTAACATAGGTATACGGAGGTGAAAGCACTGTAAATGGGTAAACAATGAAAGGCCACATGAAAACAGCTGAAGAGACCTCTCCATTGCTTGCACTTAAAATAAAGATGCCATTTATACAAATTAAGTAATAAGGGGTGAAAATAGAGATTACTCATTTTATGAGAACTACCAATTTTCATACCTCTCCTTTAAGCCCTATACCCTTGTAGAGGTCTTGGTCTTTCCCCCTTGATTTTTAAGAAATGGGGACACACCAAGGCAATATATCTTTGAACACTTTTCTTGTTTTTATGTATAGATGGGCAAAATATTTAATACATAACTTGTACTGTACCAACACTGACTCTGGATTCAGAACAAATCTGAATAAATCAGAATCTTTAGAAGTCCATACAATATTGACAGGAAATAGAAGACTAATGGAGGTCAGGTTATAGTAATTGATGAAACACAACATTTAATCTGACATCAAATATTTATTACATGTAACTCTAGATCAGGAGTAGGAGAAATCCAGTCATTTATAATTAATCAATAATTCTCAGTGAGGGGATTGGACCAGTTACGTGACAAAGAGCTCACAGATTTACACCTTCAGGTACAGTATACCTATAATGACGCTGTCATTCATACAGTCTATAGATCTAATCCACAAATGATCCATTGTAGTCTGAAATCTGAGGAACTGTCACAGAGTGTAACATTAAAACACCAGAAACATCATTCATATAAATATACCTAGTTTCAAATTTTGTTGCAGATATTAATATAATTCTCATTTATTCAGAATGATAATAATTCCAAATAACACTGAACATAAAACAATATCATTCACAGAATCCCCAGACACAGGCCTTAATTTATATATATCAGTTGCAGATTGTTTTCATTCAAGAATATATTTCATTCTTCTTCATAAACAAGATTTTATATTACGCCCAACTATCAGCAACAGAAACAGAATAAGCACAAAACCTGTGGCTTGTGCCCATAGCACAGAATAAACTTTTATAAAGTATATCCTTTTATTTCAAATCCATACACATTAAATATTTAATAGTATTGATGAGAACACTAAGAAAATATATATAAAAATAGTAAAAAAAAAAAAAAAAAGTTATTGGAAAGCAAGAGTGCACAAGACTGTTATAGTAGTACGTGTACATATAACATAAGCAGAAAAAAAAATTATGATGAAATATTAAGAAAAAAATAATTTAATACGCATGTAGCGGATTCAGCATTTATTAAAAAAATCCATATCTTTTTTTTATTTTGCACACACAATTTATAGTTCTGGGTCATGAAATTCTGAAAACCCTGAGTAACCTTCATCCCTAAATTAACTTACAATTTGTTTTTCATTGTAGGCCCCGCTACTGTAGGTTGTAGCCAGCGTAGAAGAGCACTCCTCGAGGTACCAGGGTTTACGGCCATGCTCTGAGGTGCTGCTGATGGACAAGGTATAAATACTATTGGTGTAACCATCACAATTACAGCTGTCAAAAGCACTGCCTCCATTACCCGATGCCCACACAAAAATGTTCCCCTTACCCCCTCGACCCTACAGAGGATGGAATAACAAAATATAACACAACAGTCAACATTCCACTAAAAAGATTACATAAATAGAAGCAACATTTGATTTATAAATATTTTCTCCTTGTCATATAAATTTTCAAAAGGGAAGTTTTTTTGTGAATTTTTAAATCTCTGTTTGAGAATCAGCTTGGCTCACTTTATCAAAATATGAACAACAAGAGCACCTGTTCTATTCCTGTGATGAAGGCTTTTTTAGCCAGAGGACCAGGACCATCCACAACTCTTCCATCATCGTCAGGCCCCCAAGAGGCAGAATAAATATCAATGTGTGTCCTGTTAAAACTCAGTGAAGCAGCCTCTACAGCATCTGACACGTCGCCATCCAACATACGCACACCTGTGTCAAGGTAAACACTAAAGGTAAACACTATCATAACAACTCTTTTACTGACACGTTGCCATCCAACATCTGCACACCTGTGTCATGGTAAACATTATCATAACAACTCATATACTGACATGTCGCCATCCAACATCCGCACACCTGTGTCAAGGTAAACACTAAAGGTAAACACTATCATACCAACTCTTTTACTGACACGTCCCCATCCAACATCCGCACACCTGTGTCAAGGTAAACATTATCATAACTCATTTACTGACATGTCGCCATCCAACATCCGCACACCTGTGTCAAGGTAAACACTAAAGGTAAACACTATCATACCAACTCTTTTACTGACACGTCCCCATCCAACATCCGCACACCTGTGTCAAGGTAAACATTATCATAAAAACTCATTTACTGACACATCGCCTTCAACATACGCACACCTGTGTCAAGGTAAACACTATCATAACAGCTCATTTACCAACATATCACCATCCAACATATGCACATCTGTGTCAAGGTTAACACTACTGTATACAGGGAAAATTTTGCCCCTCTTTCATTTTCGCCCCTTTCGCCATCTTCTTGATTAGGTGAATTTAAAATGGGACAAATTCAAATTACAAAGCTTAATTTCTTGAAAGAACTTTGACTGGGCGAATTTAAAACGGGGCAAAATTGATCGCAAGTGCAAAAGGGCAAAAATAACTCTGTATACAGTATCATAACAACCAATTTACATAAAAATCTGCAAACAACACAGACAGGTCTGAAAAAAGTTGATAAAATCGTAACGATAAGAGCATTTTTTTAATGAAGGTAATGTGGTTTTTGTTTGAAAACCCTGAAGCGTAAAGTTGATTCTTATTAAGCAAGACAATGGGAAGATAGGACTAGAAGATCAGCTGCATAAACTAGTTTTACCAGCTTCTCAGGCTAGAACCACCTAGATCTTGGACTTTGCATGGACTCATAATGAACTTACCAAAGATGTAATGACATATGGACAACTTCATTCTATCCTCAAGTTTTTGTCATTAGGCAAGGAACCAGAAGTCTCTGTCGAGACTGTAGCTCTACTGGTTTGTACTTATAACAAAGGATGAGAGAAGAAGCCATTGCCATCAGACCAAAACTGTTTTAGTAACATTTTAAAGGAATTTCACAGAAAATTCTATTTTTAGTAACCATGGCAACATTGTTCATCGAAATAAAAAACCTATGCACTATTTTATGTATCTTAGTGTAGTCTACTTGTGTGCCAAGTTATTTTGAAATCAGACCAAAATTGTAGGAGGAGTAGCATTTTAAAGGAATTTCACAAAAATTCTATTTTTAGTAACCATGGCAACACTGTTCATCAAAATCAAAAACCGATGCACTATTTTATGTATCTTAGTGTAGTCTACTTGTGTGCCAAGTAATACTGAAATCAGACCAAAATTGTAGGAGGAGTAGCATTTTAAAGGAATTTCACATAAAATTCTATTTTTAGTAACCATGGCAACACCATTCATTGAAATGAAAATCCAATGCACTATTTTATGTATCTTAGTGTAGTCTACTTGTGTGCCAAGTAATATTGAAATCAGACCAAATTTGTGGGAGGAGTAGCATTTTAAACGAATTTTATAGAAAATTCTATTTTAAGTAACCATAGCAATACCGTTCATCGAAATCATAATCTGATGCACTATTCTATGTATCTTAGTGTAGTCTACTTGTGTGCCAAGTTATATTGAAATCAGATCAAATTTGTAGCAGGAGTAGCATTTTAAAGGAACTTTATAGGAAATTCTATTTTTAGTAACCATGGCAACACCGTTCATCGAAATCAAAATCCAATGCACTATTCTATGTATCTTAGTGTAGTCTACTTGTGTGCTAAGTTATATTAAGATCAGACCAAAACTGTAGGAGGAGTAGCCTTTTGAAAAATTGTTTACAGACAGACGGACAGACAGACAGACAGACAGACAGCTGGACAGACAGACAGACGGACGGACGACGGACACCTTACTATCGCATAAGCTCTTCTGGTCTCTGACCAGTAGAGCTAAAAATTAACCAAGTCTGGTACATGTAAAAGGGCTTATATTCTTACAAACAGTTTGCTATATGTCCTGAGTGAAAAACCTTGACCTGATCTTAGTTAGAGTGTCTCTAGGTTCGCAGTTTGCGTGTTTGAATCCCACTGTGGGACATGGAGGCCAGTCCTTTGGATGAGACTGTAAAAACTGAGGTCCCATGTCACAAAAGGATCCCTCACTGCTCAATGACCCTGAGTGCTGAGAATAGGACAAAATTTGCAGCCCTCCACCGGTAAATGGTAGTGTCTCCATATGAGTGAAAAATTCTTGAAAGGGACATTAAATAACATACAAACAAACAAACTATTTATTAATCATAATTAGAAACTTGTTGAAAAGTTCAGAAGTGTGGGCTAAGTTAACAAATTAACACCGGTTTATTCTTTAAAAAAATCAATGTGGCCTCTTGTATTTTGCTTTATATTCTCCATACCTTATAAAGTCGGAGAAATAACATGATTAATCTTTCCTCAATAGAACTCATGATTGTTAGACATAATATGCAATAATATTTATGAAGCTCACACCATTTTTTGCAGAAACTAACAGATATTGCCATAATTCTGTCAAATACAGAAATTACTAACACAAAAAATCAAATCCCAGCATATTTTTTTATAGTTCAACCCACCATATCACACAGTTGTCTACTAAACAACTTCCCATCAAATCAGTACAGAAAACTCATTTCCCTTTCACTCCAAGATGTATTGATTCTGTAGCTGATGAAGAGAGAATTTATGTTACATTAGAGTTCACCTCCTGAGTCCCATAAAACAGTGTGGACGTAAAAGACAGCACTCCCGAGAAAAGTACATCACAGAAGTCAATTTCTACAGACAAGAGCCATAGGTTATGAATCATACTAAGGGTAAAGACACACATTGTCTGTTATACAGTGCATTACTTATTCATATTTCTTTTACTATAACTGTGTAAGCAGTGGCATATCTTTATTTGTGAAATACACAGATCCTTGGTGTACTTAACATGCTATTGTTAGTGCCCTGAGTAGCATGCAGTTGTTTTCAAGATACTTAACTTTTGATTTTTTATGCCTTAATCAAAGATTTGGGAGTATCCATTTTTTGTAAAGTCTGTCTATCTGTTTGACCACAAAAACTTTAACCTTGCCCATAACTCTTGATTGGTTGGAGCTATGGCTTACTTGTATTTCATATGGTAAGTGTATTCCTTGTGACAAGACCTATTCTTGGGTTTTAAAAAATTTGACCTCTTGACCTTGGAATTTGACCCAATTCTGCAACAACAAAAATATGAAATTTAACCTTAAGCTGGCTATAACTTTTGAAAAGTAGTTGCTAGACTTTCATACCTCGCATGTGTATTCATTGTAACAAAACCTTTCCTATGGCATAACATTTATGAGCTATTGACCTTGACCTCAGATTTTGAACCTTTCAAAAACTTACAAGCTTGACCATAACTTTTAACCTTGAAGATTGATCCTTTTTGTAAAACTTTAACCTTGGCCATAACTTCTGGAGTTGATGCTTGGCCTTTTATATTTCGAGGTATATTCATTGTGACAAGTTCTTTCATTTGGGTTATAATATTTTTTATCTCTTGATCTTGGAGTTTGACTTGCAAATGATGTTGGGGGCATCAGTGTTTTATAAATACATCTTGTTTCTCCATACATTTCACTTTGAAGTTGGTTTCACATGAGCTATCATAAATTACATGATTTAAATAAACGTAACTAATAAAAAGAAATAGGCATTTTAAATTTTGAAAAACCAATACCCTGTACATGGCCACAAAAACTTTATTATAAGACATAATATAATGTAATTGATAACTTGATTTAAGGTTTTTTAACTTCCACCTTTGTTTTCTTAATGTTATAATCATTGGTTTTGCTTGCTTCTTCTCATTACTCAGCAGTGCCTTTCCTCCCCTTAAATACTTTAAACCAAGGAACATTTTGCATGTGTTTATTAACATATCAGACTTATGGACGATATCTTTTCCATACTAACAATATCTTTTTTGTACTAATCACCTCCAATCCTGGAGTTGTAAGCCGCCCCTACCACACACTTGTTGTTATTGGCTTTTGCTGCCACCTCCCCCGCACACCGAGTCCCGTGTCTACAAAATTAACAAATCTAATTAAAATACAGCCCTTTAATTTATGTGGTCACTGGGCATAAATTATACAAGTTTATCTGAGGGTCATTTAAAACATAAACACTTCCAAATTTTGCCTTTTTAAAAATTCCCAATTGAAAGGGTACAGGACCTGTACCAAAAAGGATCAATTAAGTCCTGCCCAATCTGAGAAGTATAAAGAAGATGAGGCAATGGGAAGGGTAACAATCTTCATCATTATTGGGTGTCCACTTGAAGGACCCCATTACAGGGCTCCAATTATTTTTGTTTTATTTTTTTCTGACTATGTAATCACTATTAATGTTTGAAAGAAAGACATGCTTTTAGAGGCCTGCTAATAATAAGTATTGGAAAATTCTAATGATTTAGAAGTAGATTAAAAGGTGTAGATTAAATTAAGGTAAATCAATGCTGTTATTTTTCTTAAGCTGATTGAATCAATAATTCAAAATGATTGATTCAAGTACATGTATTTTCAAGTTCTGGTACATTTCTCATACCTTATAAGTAGAATTTTTAGCGAGGATTTAATTTTGGCATTATTAGCAAGGGTGCTGACATTATTAAAATTGAACATAGCTAAAAATTAATGGCTTATTTATTGTCATGGCTACTTTAGTTAGCATTTTGAAATTGCTAAAATTACTTCTCGCTAAAAATAAAATACCAAATTTTAGGTATAAATCGCTAAATTTGTGTCTCTCTAAAATTTCCAATTATACGGTATATAGCCAGGTTATGCAGATTTATTCCAAGTGCAGGTATAAAATTAAATGTATTTCTAAACATTTTAGGGAGGGGGAAAGGGGCATAACATAAAACATAAAATGACACATTTTATCAGTGAACCAGTTGATATTGATATTATATAATACATATTCTGACACAGTTCTATAATCTTATAGTTATATCTGTTTAACAGTACAGGGAATGTTATCTAACTTTATAAGGGCATCAAGGGATTTAAATTCTTAAAAATTCCATTAAAGAGTTGCACCTGTTTTCATTGGTAGGATCATATCTTGGTATTGGATCAGGGTCGTGGTTGTTCACATCATAACTGGCATATGGGTCCTGCAAGAAAAGAAACTCAGTATTGATAAAGGCACACCAACAGTCTATATAATTATTAGCCGGAAATGACTTCTTTTTTTTCTTTGACCTACAAAAGTTACTGGAATCTTCCCTGCACAATAACTGTCAATAATCCTTGATATTGTAAGACTGGTCAAATACAGAGTAACTTCATATACAACATATAATCCATTGTGACTAGAAAACCTATGACAAAGACACACCAGATACTAGTATTCCCTGATATCATTGTAAAATCTCCTACAGTGAAGAGATCATATATCCCCTGGAATCATTGTAAAATATCTTGAAGCAGTGAGCGCTCACATGGTGTTACTGAAAAAACTACTTCAACAAACTTCCTATACATAAGAATGATAAGATATATCAGCTTTTCCCTTATATAATGATTAAACTGTTAAATCATTGATACCTCTGCAAATTCTGTCTGAGGAAAGCATATTTTCTCCTAAGACTTCAGAAACACTTCAATTTACCCTCAGTCATACTTTACTTCAGATATATTAAGTCCTCAAAACCAATCCCTTGTCTCTTAATTGTTCACTCGCTAAACTTAAATCATGAATTTTCTACAAGCAATGCCAATATCTGATCAATCACGTACATTTATCATACACATTAAACTTACATAGTTTTCCTTTAAGTCATCATGAGTGCGTTCGATTCCGTCGTCCAGAATACTGACCACCACCCCCTTCCCTGTGTACCCCATCTGCCACGCCCCCTTCACACTCATGTCAAAGTTACCACTGTTACCACGATGTCCTCCCCCATTCTACATCAAAAACAAATCAATCATGTTATATAATATGTACATGTATTTCACATTTCTTTTTCAGAGTATAAAGTTAAACAATATATAGATCTTGAGGATAAATGAACTTTTTATTTATACCTAATTAAAAAAAAAAAAATAACACCCAAACTACACGTATATACATGCATGATTAAAATATGTAAAATATCTAATGTTTCTCATATCTTGAACCCTGATTTCATTATTTCATTATAACCTATGATTTAATACCCAATCAAGATCCAAAACACAAGAACTGTTCATTCTTGCTCAATTTTATCAACTCAATATTCTAATCAATTTTATTTTAATTAAAGTTTCCCAAATTCAGTAAAAAAAATCTAAGGCACTCTTTCACTTTTTTCTTAAATATGTAATGTATAATGCTAAGGTAACATTCTGAACTGTCATATATATGCTGTTCTAAACAAGCTTGAAGATATTGGTGATTTATCCAGAACCATGAGATGTTTCCTTCTTAATCTGTAAACCTCACGTAAATGGGTGTAACTTACCAAGATAAATCAATCTCTATTTAGTTTTAACTGTAACCTGTATCTAAGGTCCTTAATTAAGATTCATGTATTCCTATCAGACCTGGAGAAATAAGATTTGGCTAGATAAGGGTTATTCTATCAGCTGTTAATTGGCAAGACATGGGCCTAGACAGGCAGGCAATGGTCTAAATCAATTCTGTCTGATCTAATTTACATACAGTGCTGACCACTCAGTAGAGATTATTCTGCATTATCATCAAAATCGGGGTAAATCAATACCATTTACCGGTATATAACAAATATTTATCACAGAAAGTACATTCTCCTACAAACAATTGAATTTATTAGATATGTACTATTCCAATTTTGTTCAAAATATATATATATATATACTGATGAAATGTAATATAATATGTAATGCTGTTTTTAATTATTTTTGCACCCTTAGCATGCTTTTGATAGAGCATCAATTTTTTGTCATGATATTTTACAAATATAAATATTTCAAATGAACTGCTTAGTAAAAATGCAGGCATGGTGGTGCATTTTACATATTCAGAGTGTCGTCTGAACTGTATAACCTAAAATACTGGTACATTACTGTTACGAGCTAGGAAAAACCTTGCGTCCTGCACTAAACACTGGTCTACACCTACAGGATGAAAATATTTCTTTACAGAGAAATAAAACCAGCCATCACCCTGTCAGTCACAAAATCCAGGACTTGTGTCCATCAAGCCTGAGCACTTCATGACCCCCTCCCACTTTTTCCATATTAAACTACACAACCTACATGCTTGATGTAAATATATTTTCTCCCTTCTTATTTTTCCCTCTGAATCTCCAGTCATGTATTCTATATTTTATATGTACCTCTGACCAGATTGTATATAATGTATACATGTTATTAATGTTCATGTACCCCATGTACCAATAGCTTGGTATGGGTGATATAAACTGAACTGAACTGATGTTCACAAATACATACCAGATACCACTGAGACCTCCACAAACGGTCGTTAAAACTATTAAAATCATTCAAATCTCTCTTCACTCGACTCCTGGCTCTTTGTTGTTCAAACCATTTGATCTGAAAGTTATCAAGAGAAGAACTAAACATCAGCCATAATCATATGCTTTTAAATACAATTTGTTGCTTGTAAATGTCATAGTGGTGTCAGAAAATGGTGGGGATATATGCAAGGTAACATGACTATTTTTTAGTTTCACAGAATTCTTGCTTTGAAATGGCATTTCAATAATCTTTATTTCTCTATCACAAATGACATTAATTACAACTCCTTGCTTATCATCTGTATTGTGATATATTTATACACCTAATGAAAGGTTTCTGATTGTATTACTACCGTAAATCTGGAAATTTTTGCTGTAGATAAATTTTTAGCAAATTTGTGAGTTCATTGCATTCGCAAAAATATTTTTCTTAAAAATAAATTACTAATAAGAAAATGTAAACAAAACAGTGGTCATTCGCAAACTTTTGAAACGTAAAAATTAATCAACAGCATTTTGACCCGATTTCGCAAAATAAAATCGACGTAAAAATTTCCAGATTTAAGGTATTATATTCTATGGTAATCAGGTCTTTCAACTACCGGTAGTTCATAAACATATTATCCTCCAAAGACAAAAGGAGTAAAAATAACATCTGAGACTGATTTCTACTTGAAACATGCAAAAGATTTTAATAGATTGTAAAGAATATGTGTCATAATCATGTGATGCATTGAAGGTAAACATAAAGTAACATGTTCGAATCCTTTCTGTCTATCCCATCATGATTTATATGTGCCGAGAACTAAAGATTTGAGCTCCTTAATACATGTAATGGATGAATGCGAGTTGTGTAACAACCCTAAATTGTTAATGATGAAAGCTCTGGTTTGAATGTTTGACTACTGATAAGAGTTGACTACCTCGGGCTCTTTAGATAAAAGCTGATGGTGCTCATGGCTTGGATTTGCAGATCTTTTACTAATGTGAGGATGGTAAAATAAATAATGGTCTTTTAAATCCCCTATCTGAAAAACAAAACAAGACACAATAGTTAGATATAATGAACAAAACTATAATTTGATAAAATTTAAAAAACTTTAAACAATATTATATTGATCATTTAGGATGTGTAACTAAACAAACAATACCATATACTTCTTTATGTAAACTAAAGTATGCAAATTGTACACAGATGAATTGAACTGTTATTATGAAAGACAAAATCTCAAATGCCATATTGAATATGTCCATTGTGAAAATTAGAAGTCCCCAATCATTTTTTCTTTGTTTATTTTAACCTTAATATTTCAGCCCTTAGATATACATGTATCTTTTTTTTTTTTTTTTCTTAAATCCATCCATTTTGAAATAATGATCGAGGTTTGACTGTGCTCCACTTTGCCTTTCCAGTCTCTCATACATTATAATATACAAAACGAAGAGCTGAAAATACTGATACCTATAAAACTGTCCTAAATGTACAATTAATATTTATCTACACACAGTACAATGTCCTAAAAAGTATACTGTATCATACATTGCACACGATGTTTATGTATTTTCCAAACCAATTAGAAATCAAATATACGTAAATAAGCTGTATACATTTACATCAACAGGCTGATCAAGGTCCCAATCTAAGTTCAGCACTTAAACACGATTGGCTACTTCCTGTGCTTGCCTCTTTATATTTCATCATACCCAATCTTTTTTACCATTAACAAGCTAACTGTATCCTATTTCTCCTTTGTCCTTACAGATTTATACTAAGGTCAACAGAAGGCACTAGCTGTCTAAACTAAAAACCTCAAGAAAAAGATGCCACTCTCATTTACATATACCTTTAGGAAATTTTTATACCATGATATCTTTGTTAGTACGGTCTAATATTATCACTTTAGAGAGGAATAGTTTAATTATTAAGAAACAGAATAGTTCTTGTCTCCAAAATTATTACTGAGATGTTGCTGTTCTACAAACAAATTATTGGATCATTCTTTAAATTAAATAGAGTGTATCATACTAATGCACTGCTTATATTTACAGGTGTTCCCAGAAAAATAAATTGTAAGAAAATAATTACCGCAGATATTGGAAGGTACGTTTATAAATGTATTTATGGAATTACTGTTGCAATATCATATCGAAATAATATGTTTATTAGCAAGTACATTGACAATATGCCCATAACCATGTCAATCTGTTATGATTACACAATGGGTGACCTTACATGATCCAGCGTTACTAATCGCCATAAAAAGGTCAATACCACTGGGGAGTCGTTAAGTGATCGTTAATGTCTCAATACACCAAAATCACAGGTCTTACACTTAACTGACAACAATAGGGTTTAAACAGAGTTATGGGACTTGTGGGGAATTATGAGATTACAGAGAGAGTGTATGTCTTCATTATGAGAGCTGTCTCATCCTTTTTATTGGATGACCATGTCGTAAATATAGGAAATTAATGAGTTTTTTAAGGATATCCGGACGGACTGGATTGTTATAAGTAATTACGGTTTCTTTTCTTTTAGTGCTTACACAGTAAATGTCAAACTATAAACAAGAAGGGGTCTCAGTCAATACCTCCTTTATCTACAGTTTATCCAAAACTTCAAGGACGACACTGGCATGTGATTATACAAGTACTCTGTAAGTTTAAGTTAGATGAAGAATGCATGACAGCCTCTACATTTCACGAGACAACTGTGTGCTTTGACACTATTACAGTGTATGAGGAAGAGAACTGAGAGGAGACATAAATCATTTTTTCTGTCAATCATATGTCCATTAATCAATCAGATCAAAAAGATAAAGAGAGGAATCCCACCACTAAATAGGTATTTATAGGGATCCCGAATTGACAGTCTGTCTACAAGTATTTATCTTCCTGGAAAGTCATCAGAAAAAATTACAAATACTGAATCAGTTGGAGAAAAACATGTATAGTTGAGAAAAATGGAGAATAACTGTATTTTTACTAATAAAAAAATTACTGCATCATTAATTAAGAGAGAGTTGAATTCATTAACTAGGGAGAAGTATAATTAAGGGAATCACTACTGACATTTCATGTAGACAGATAGAACTCGCTCAGCAAAAAACTACCGGGTAAACATTACTAAGAGGTACTGTAGGCAATATGAGCTCACAATGTGAAGTCTCTGCAACAGTATAAGTATAAGCAGAGATTTAGAATATAAAATAGGAGGTTCACAACAGTAATATGTAATAGAGATTCAGTGAAAGTCTCAGTAAATTTATTCTGTGGTATACTAGGAGTTGCATATATATATAACAGCTTAGGGCTGGGTATTGGCCCGAGATTTCGTATTGCGATATATTGCGATATTTCTAATTGTATTGCGATATGTATTGCAATATTTTCAATGTAATTTAAATGGCATTTTCTTACTATATTTACTTTAATTTACATGCAAAATGTACATAACTATGATAAATAACCAACACGAAAAAAATCCTGTTGATTTCATTTAAGTTATGCTCTGAAATGCTCCTACAAAACAACTTCCGTCTTACTGTTTGGCTTAAAAACAAACTTTTATACATTCATTTTAATATTTAATGACAAAATTCCTTAATCTAAGCATATTGCCAATATATCGATGTAACAAAAATTGTATTGCGATACGATATTTTTTGACATTGTATCGCAATATATTGAAATATCGATATTATTGCCCAGCCCTATAACAGCTGGATGGGTATACCCCCAAGTGGATTTGGAGGTATTGACAAGAAATATGAGGAACTTAAAATCCAATTAAGATTATGTGAAAATCTCATTAAATCTATTCAGTGGTAAAGGAACACTTGTGTATAAGAGATGGGTACCCGTAAGTCTTATGAACATGCAGACACCCTCATCACAAGCAATAAATTCATCGAAAATGACTGCATTACTTTACATTGTATAAAAATGAAAAAACATATTCTTTACAAAGAAAATTATCAACTGATGTCTGTAAACACACAGACATAGAATACTACAGATAATACCAGCATCCAGTATAAATTCACTGATGATAAAAAACAGGTATCATTTGCAGGGGTTTTTAGGCATCTATTTGTAGAACATTTAGAGTTTCTGGGAGTCTCCAGTTACCAGTCCAGTGGGCCTGTGTTCAGAAAAGTTTTTCAGTGAAGACATTAATCAACTGATAGTATCAATCTGAGACAGATAATTCACTCAGATCTGCACCAAGGCATTACAGCACATCAAATGAGCTGTGACCTGCTGTATTCAATTTCAAATAAACCATCCTGTGCAAGCCCTAGTTTTTCTTGATAATTTACTTTGTCTGGATCTCAGAGTCAGCATGTAAAGCCACAGGAAAATTAAGTTCTAAATCAACCAATTACATGTTCTGTTTATACTGGGGTCAGTGTATTCCAGTTTATAGAGAGAAAAGAAATGAAATTCCTCATGTAATAAGCCAGACATATTAATAACCTGAGATGTATATAGTCCTACATTATAGATAAAATTTACATGTCTGCAGAATAAGAATTAAAAATCTTATTTCAGAAAAAATGTCCGTATGTGGTGACAGGAATGATTTATGAACTGTGATTCAGTTATCAAAAAAAAAAAATCATGCCTGTCTAAAATGCCATAAATTAACCATTAGGATTAAGTGAAGGTACTAGGACATTTCTGCAATAGAAATTTGTTATAGCAGATTATGCCAGATATCCTTAATTATTGAGCAAGAACTACCAGAGCTAAATCTAAAATTTCAGAATGTAGAGTAATAAAAATACTGTTTTACTTCTTTAATTTGAAGTTTCAAAAAATGATTTAAAAACTAGCCCAATGTGTATAATGTGTATTAAAATGATATACATACATGTACAATACAAATCTCTAAAATTAACATTATTTTTTAAGTATTGAGATTAATCCACCTGATACTTGTTTTTCATTACACTAAACACTGAAGGCAATAAAACAGAATATTTGTCACCAGATGTGTTTATTTAGCTGCTGGACTTGATGTAGAAGAGGACACATTACGTGTAGAACTGCTTCCTACACATTTAGATCAACAGATCATATTTAGGATAATCTCAAAATAGAACCATTCTAAAACTAACCATGACACTCCTCAGCCTTGTTAGCTGGACTAAATCTAATCTTTACTCTTACAATTGATGAACGTCATCAACATACTAGTCATACAACTAAGTTTTCTTCTTCATTTCTCCAAACTTAAAGAAAACAACATTTCAACTACTCTGTTTCGGCTTCAAAGCTCTTTGTACACAGTGCCTGGATATTTAGACCTCAATGTACAATACCTACTTATTTACACTTATCATGCCTTGTTTACTCTATGTTCATGTTAGTACAAGAATAATAGCCACTTGAGAGTAAGACATTCATCTGGAAAAGTACAAGCTGGTATCCTTCCTCTTATGAAATTTAGCTAAACTTGACATGTTTATTTCTTCTTCAATGATGTTTTTATTTAGTAGTAGTACATGCAAATGAATACTACACCTGTACACTACATGACAGTGTAGTTTTATGTTAATATATAGTGTATTTTATGTCACAATTTTCACTGCTTTGGGACATACAAAAGGTGTGTTTTAGAGTTGATGTAGATACTAAGAGGTGTGTTTTAGAGGTTTTCTTTACAGACATACAGAAGGTGTGTTTTAGAGTTGATGTAGATACTAAGAGACCATTTATCCACCTCAGTGGTTTTCTTTATAATCTTCATCATCAATATTTTTTCCAAGGGATTTGCCTACATTCCTATTTTTGAGATGAATTTTGAGAATAATAAGACAGTTGTTTCCTGTAAAATTTTCCCAAAACTTGATTCATATGTAGACTGTATAATGAATACAAAAGCACACCATAATTGTTACAATTCCAAGATACAATATCTATATAGAAGTCCTGTAGAACAGAAACCTAAATTTTGCAGTATCTTTTTTTCAAATTCATCTATGTTGTCATTTGCAAAATCTTAAAAATTTAGTTAACTCGTGAGCTTGCTACACTCTGTCTTGTTAAATTTAGGAAAAGTACACTAGAGTGCAGTGAGTGTCCTCAATCATATAAAATATCAGCAATGCATGCTTAACTAACAAACCATTGAATCCGACTCAATTGTAGCATCACATCTCATGCCAAACGATAAAAATCTATCCGTTTGATGTATCTGACCAACCCATAAGAATCATCCCTATTCAATCTATTTATCAGTACCCGGTACTTAATCATGTGTTAAATTTATAGTTTCATTGTTATTATTTGTTTCCAATGAAAAAGAGGTTGTTTATTTTATTTTTCTTTAATTAAGAAATAAATTCTGTTGGAGTTTTTGGATTGGTAATTTTAGCAATGTTAAATATGTCTAGCTGTCCAATTTATAGTGAAAATAATAAATTTCATAGCCTTTTATTCTTTATAACCATGATGGCAATATTATATCAAATTATTATACATACTAAAATATTAACTACATACCTACCCACTTTCAAAAATGTGGGTCAGAGTACATCCAACAAAAAAGTTTTGTTTTTTAATATTGTTTCTATTAGCATGATCAGTTAATAACCTTATATATAGATATAAAATTATTTTTTCTTCATTTTTTTATGGGTTTGCTTTCTGATTTTGCACCCCTTCTCCCACAGGTGAAACCATTGCTCCTCCTTTGAATTAAACCAGCAGTTTTAGCAATCCTTGAACACTATTCTTCATGAACTACCCTAATGCCCAGAACTTTGCTTAAAAAGCAACAAATGCATCATTGACTGTAATACTGGCAATAATTTATCATTATTATTAGGATAACTTTCAATTCATTTCAATTATTTTTGTATCATTCTTACCTGTCCCATATTATGAAATCCATGTTTAGAAGCTATTCTATCTGCTGTATGACTACCCCCTTCTATGTGGACGGCTATTTGATTCAAATAGTTACATTTCGAATGGTGACACAACTGAATGACAAGTAAACAAAATAAACAGAAAATCCGTGTAACGTCCGATAAAACCATTTGTAAGAAAAGAACCATGTCGGAATGGTGGAAAATAAAATATAAAGTTCAGTTAATTTCTTCGGCCAATATAGAAAAACGACATGTTCCAGAAAAAAGGTTCACTTCGGACTGTGTTGCACTTTCCAGCCAAGTGAAACACGTCTCCGAGATCAAATCAGGAAGTGCAGCCAACAGAAGCTCCGCCTAACGGGCGAAGCTACGTCACAATACGATCCCGATCAGAATTTCTCAGAGAGAGTGAGAGAGAGGATTTACAAAGTAACAAGAAGTTAGCTACGCTTTTTCTGATGAAGTAAATTTAAAATTCAATAGGTAATGTTATTGGAAAGTCAAAATCAAGTGACTTTAAAATGATGTAAAAGAACAACTGAAGTTAAAACTTTCAAGCTGTAGGCCTATCTGAAATTTTATAAATCACTACATTATATACTTAAAAGTGTTTTGCTAAAAATCATATAATACGAGTACACAGCTTTGAACCTCTCCTTCCGACAAAAATAAATAAAATAAATCAGATTTGTTAAATAGATAAATAAAAAAGTAAATAAATTTAAATAATATTTTTCAATATTTTAAGAAAATACACATTCGTGTTTAATTACTTCCTATATACAGATATAACTACAGTACAAACATTGTCCAAAATTATCCTTGAAATGATAAAATGCAATAAAATGTGCTTGAATAATATAAATTGTTTATTTTAGATTAAATTTGACTGAAAATTTAGGTTATTTGGGGGGGGTTCACATGGAATACATTGTAAATAAGTACTAGAAACATAATTCATGAGAAAAAAAAATTTAAAAATATTTTGACCAGGGGTGTATGGGGGGGGGGGGGGTACGTCACAAGTACCTGTGGAAGACATTTCTTAAGAGAGCGGAGAGAGGTTTCCTAAAAGCTTGGGAGGGTGTAGCTGGTTTTTCGCCGATTACGTAAATTTAAAAGTGGTATCGCGCCGGGTGGTTTCGCCCCGTTTATCTACAGGTATATACAGGTAAGGTAAGGTATTGGTAGTATAAAATGGCTTCCCATTATTGGTAGTATACAAATGGCTTCCCATTACCTGTAGTTTTATAAACCAGTAGCCTGTTATTAATAACCCCAAGCGCTAATGTCGTGTTGTGTTGAATAATTATCCCATTTTCTAGTACAAGTAACACCTTTATTGAGTCTTTTTTTTTTTTTTTTACCAAATTATGACTATTTGATCAAATTTGATCGTTTAATATATATATATATATAGGAAAAACATGTCAAAATATAATTTTTATTTCTGTTGAAATATACTATTTATTTCTGTTGAAATATATACTATTTATTTCTGTTGAAATATATACTATTTATTTCTGTTGAAATATAATATTTATTTCTGTTGAAAATAATATTTATTTCTGTTGAAAAATAATTATTATTTCTGTTGAAATATAATATTTATTTCACAAATATCATCTTTTCAATGAAGGTTGTCATTGTTTTTCAATGAAACTTTTATTTATTTATTTATTTATTTATTTATTTATTTATTTATAACACTCACGTTATATTTACTTTTGTTCCTCTTAATGCAATCGTATTGCTTTTCAATTTGTCTATTTTTTTTTTAACTTATTCTAATGAAATTAAAATTCTTATAATTTGTTAAATTCTAAAAATTCATTTTATCTGTCATTTGTATGTGTATATATGTGCATGTGTTTTTTGCATGTTAATTTATGCTGTAAATGTTTTCTTGTGATATTTTAACTGTGATAGTCGATTTAAGAGCTCTACAGAGCTCATGTTTCTTGTTATGTATTGTATACAATGCAGACTTTAAATAAAATTTACTTACTTACTTACTTACTTAAATATATCTCATTAAAACTCAAAATAAATATAATTATTGAAGTTTCAATGCCTATATTATACATGCATACTTATGATTAACAGACACCGCAGTTATTAAATAAATCAATATAATTTAATTTAAAATATAAGAAATAGTTTAAATATAAGTATAACAACTAGAAATATAACAATCTTAAATTTTGGCACACAACTACATATGTATATCTCATTCAAAAACTAACTTAAGACTCAATTTGTTTTTATTAAATTCGAATACACAATTACATTTAAAATATACCTCTTTAAATACAGACATCATTAATTAGAAAATGGAATAATATTCTTCATTGTAAGTACCGCTTATAGCTATAAATTCTTTAAAACATACATATACATGTGTGCCAAAATTATAAAAAGAAAAACAAAAATTATTTTTCAATTAAATATATATATAAAATATAATAAACTTAAACATATATAAATATATATACAAAGATATAGAACATCCTGAAAACTTCAAAGGTAAACTATCTTAAAATACAGACATCATTAATTAGAAAATGGAATATTATTCTTCATTGTAAGTTCCTCTTGTAGATATAGTTTTAAAACTTCAAAGCTTATATATGTAAAACTATAATGCATCCTAGATAATATACAATTATAATACATTACTAGAAATTATTTAAGACGTAAGACATAAAAAAATAACTTTTTATGTCTAGTAATATTGAAAATTTTGGGATTAAAAAAAGAAATACTTACCGTTTTTCTGCAATGAAGACAGCTGGTCATGGTGATTTTTGTTGGTAGAATGAAGTTTTTGGAAATACATTTGAAAAACGCACGACTTGTCTCTCATCATTATTTATAATTAATCTGCTCGTCATTAATGATCAAACGATAATCAAACGACTACCCGATAAGCGGTATCTTCAGTAGTTCAGCGGCGCGAATCCACGGGGGGCGAAACCACCCGGCGCGAACAAGTAATCGGAGCGAACCCACTCGGCGCGAACACGGGATCGGAGCGAAACCACCCGCATTCCTTGGGAGCATTTGATAACAAGAGAAGGGTCGAGATGTTTTCGTCTGTCAAGAACCTTCGATTTCTACGACAAAGTGTAAGTTTTTCTTTTAACAACACAAGTAACAATTCATTTCTCATAATTTCATGTGATTTTTGTTGCAGCTCCATTCAATTTAAAATTGATGACAGGTTTTGCGTTTATGTTGCTGAGGCATCTTGGAACGGGTTACATAAAATGATATTTTTAGTTAAACAAGGGATACATTGCATAAGGATTCAAAATTCTTTTATTGTTTTTCTTTCTAATTTAAAGGCCACAAGTGAGTAAGAATGTGGGTTTCTAGAGCAATCTGTATTTTCATTTTGCAAGCGATAAATCTATTTATGGACTTTGCACTTTATCTGTACAATTTATATAAGTTCATCTGATGTCTGAGACAGACACACATACATGCCAACTTTTGAAAATTCCCATGGGGGATTTAGCTCGTGACGTCAATTTTCAAAGCTTTAAATTCGCGACATTTTGTCGTGAAATTAAATGGTTATGAAATGATTTTTTTTTATTTATAATATTGATATCACTTATCAATACAACTTTTAAGGATTAATTTAACACAGAAAATGTTTTTTCTTTCCAAAATTTAAATTTAAATATTTTTGCTAAAATAGGTGCCTCTCTCATTAAAGAAGGGGTATTTAGTTACATATGTAAACAACATTTTTTTTTCTACCAGGACACATAATTTAGTAAAAAATTGAAAAACTTTTAAATAATTTTTTTCAAAAGCAAAAAAATATACGAGGTTTTAATACTGTACAATCCTGTTTCTGGAAACATTTTTGAGATTTTTAATTTATATTTTAATTAATGAAAAAATTCTAATAAGATATTAAATTTGTAAACAGAAATTTATAACACCTATCCAAAGAGAATAATTTTTGTTACGTTCTTTGTTGTTTGTCATGAAATTTGTCAGGCTTGATGGTGCCATGTATGTATAGATTAAATCAGCAGCAATGCTTTGTAGTTTTCTACTTTCGTTTTCAAAAACGATCTCTGGATTCCGATTTTATGGTTTGATTATTTTATTGTCTTTAATTTATGTTTTTAATAAAATGACTGACTATTATCAGGTTAATCTATGCGTTTCATCTTGCATACCCCTTAAAACTGACAAGATAATCCCCTAATTGCCCCAAGCTACAAGCTACTTGTACCTGGACAACTGCACGTGCGTTCAAGCGTGAAGTGATTTCCTGTGGCTATAGGCCTAATTAACACCTGGTTGGATAAACATTGAGACTTATCTGCATTGAATAAACAAGTCTGACATTGTTATCCCGATTGTCAAAATATAAGCGGTAGGGAAACTTTTAAAATCGGGAATTTTGGTGATCTTTTTTTCAAATCGGGAAATGAGGCACATTTTCTTTCCCTCGGGAAGGCCAAATATCGCTTATATTTCGGGAAAGTTGGCATGTATGGACACATCAAATAATTATTATTATACTACTGACTTTATAATTTAAGCTTTCATGACATTTGTAAAATGGGAACTTTAGGACTTTAACCTACAGGAAAGAGTTGGTTTATGTCCCTTCTGACTCCTCATTGTCATAAAAAACATGTACTGCTACACTTGGCAGCAGATCTGTAGCGTTATGGTTTTATATATTAGTCCTTGACCATAACACTATAGATCCCGTAATGCAAAAATGTGCAATTTAGGGCGCAAGACTTTTTGTGCATTGTTTGGGAGAATTTCTCAACTTTACAACTTTTGTGAATTATCTACCTTTCCCTTCATAATTCCAGACACATTTTTAAACCAATTTGTGTATTTAATTCACCTCTCAACCCTTTATAGTTGCCTCTACAGGCAATAAACTGGCTTGATTTGAATTGTATAAGGGATTACAGAAAGTTCTAATTCAAGCGAGTTTATAGCTTGAAGAGAGACTATAAATGGTTGGAAGGTGTATAAAATATACAGATTTATTAAAAAATGTGTCTAGAATTATGGAGGGAAAGGGAGATGATTTACCAATGTTGGAGAGTGGAGAAATTCTCCCAAACAGTGTGTAAAAATTCTTCAGCCATAAATTGCACAATTTTTGCATTACAGGATCTGTAGCGTTATGGTCAAAGACTATAAAACCATAACGCTACAGTTCTGCAGCTATGCTACACCAAGACAAAAGTATCTTTAAACCCCCAGCATGCTGGAGTGAGTGAGACTATCATTTTTAAAATTGATAATTTTATCTTATGTGACTAAACAGCAAGACTGAGTAATAACTTCTTATATAAATT